GGGGCCAGGCCTGCAGGGCCAGGCAAGATGGCGGCAATGGAGACTGAGGCAGCCCCGCTGACCCTAGAATCGCTGCCCACGGACCCGCTTCTCCTCATCTTATCCTTCTTGGACTACCGCGATCTAATCAAGTAATGGAACGGCACGGATGGCAATGGGGGGGAAAATGAGGGAGGTGTGCAGCCAGTGAGGCAGGAGGGAATGAGGCCCAGACTGCCGATAGGATCCTGACTCCTGCGGCAGCCAAAAGGTGACGCCAGGGCCGCCCTTATCCTGCAGAGCCATCCGGGGCCCAGACGAGACGGCGGGCGACGGGAAGGGTCTCATTCTGAGGTCCTTCGCCCACTTAGGACTCCAGGCCTGAGGAGCGACGCAAGCCTTCTCGCCCAGGCCTCGGCAGGGCCCAGTTGCAAGGGAGGGAAGTGCTGGCCGCTGCTCCCCGATGCCACCTCGCCGCGCCCCGCGGACCCCAGCGCCCTGGATCTGCTGGCCTCCGCCCTGTCTGGGCCTTGTCTGGCCGCTTTGGAAAAGTCCCTAGCCGGGCCAAGCTCTCTTTGAAGCCTGAGTACCAGGCCTGCGGAGTTTGACCCTGGATTAGGCAGGTGGGGCACCGGTACGGAGGAGCCAGGTTACCCCAAATCTCTTCGCTCCCCAGGTGCGACTTTGCGCGGCACCAGAATCGCTGGCAGGGCACACTGTCGTATTTATCCTGAGAATTGTGCATTGCTCAGAGTTGGAAGTTTTTTTGTACTGACTTCAAGCGGTGCGATACAGGTCGTCTCCCGTGTGCATTTTGGGTTTCTCATATTACAAGCATTTGTTCCAAAAATAAAGACCGGTTGCTAGTGAATGTGATTAAATGCCCAGTGTCTATAGAGTTGGGAATTGTCTGTGATGGTGGAAGAAATGACGCATCCCCTCTCCCCTGTCTAACTAACAAAGACTGTTTACACCCGTGACAGCTGGCAGCATGGTTTCTCTTGCCACCCGCAGTGTGTTTGCAGAGGAAAAATCGCCTTCCTAGGATGGGTCTTTGTAAACCCTATACAGGGTCACTATGGGTCGGAATCGGCTCGACTGCACTTAGCAACAACAAGGATGGGTAGGCGAGACTCAAGTTGTTTTGAATTGTACGGAATTCAAACCACTTGAGGGTTGAATCCTGTGTATTACGATTCCTTTTAGAAAGGCAGACTTCTTGGAGTTACAGGTAGCTGTTGGTTGGGCTAAGCAGTAACAGATAAATCCAAGTTTCTGGCTGCTACAGATCTGGTAAAGTAGTGGTTATGAGTCGGGCTGCCAACTTCAAGGTCAGTAGTTCGAAACTACCAGGGATTCCGCTGGAGAAAGACGAGGCGTTCTGCTCCCATAAGAATTTACAGCCTCAGAAACCCTGTGCAGGGTCACTATGAGTCGGAACCGACTCCATGGTACTTAACAACCACCACCAAAATTAGTACCTGATAACACTTTTTTTTTTCTTCTAAAGAATTTATTTATCATATTCAGGTTTTTCCCCAAGCAGAGACTAAAATTATGATTATTTGTGAAAGGCTGTTCCATCTGCAAACAGCTTTCATTGGAAATTTTCTGTTGTTATAGCCTTTTACAAATCTGACCCTCCCACCTTTTGGTTCGTGAGCTACATTACTACCAGAGTGCCTTTTTGAAGACACATCGTGCTCTGTCATTCTCCTGCTTAAAAACCTTGTCATTTGTAGACTCTTTAACATTTAACAAACTCTTGGGGCACTTACAGCCTTTATTTTTTGCCTTACTAAGGCCTTTCAGCCCTTATTTCTCTTCCTCTAAAGGAGCTCTGGTAGCGTAGTGGTTACGAATCGGGCTGCGAACCTTAAGGTCAGCGGTTCGAAACTACCAGCCGCTCCGCGGGAGAAAGATGAGGCTTTCTACTCCCGTAAAGATTTACACCCTCGGAAACCCTGTACAGGGTCGCTATGGGTCGGACCCGACTCGATGGCACTTAACAACAACAACAACAACTGTATTTACAGTGCTTACTCTTGCCAAATCAGACTTGTGCCAGCATTCCACACACTTGTGTTCTTTCTGTGGCTTAAGCTCTTAACTCTGTCTGGAATGCCTGCCTCAAGTTGGCAAGATGGAATTCCTTTAAGATCTCTCCTGACTTCTTTCGCCACTTTTTTTTTTCCTCTGCAGAATGTATTTGCCATGTTAGATAGGTTGTGCACTTCTTGAAGGCAAGGACTGCCTTGTTTATCTTTGCATTCATCCTTTATTCAACAGATTTTTATTTTTGATTGCCTGCTGTATGCCAACATCTTTTCAGTTAGAGATACAGTAGCAAACAGGATAGATTAGACAAAGTCCCTCTCATGGAGTTTACAGTCTAGCGGGCAAGATGGAAAAACAAGGAAACTGGTACTAGGTACTCTGATACAGAATATGAAAGCGAAGGACAGACAATCAAATTCAAGTTGGAAAATGCTGCAATATATGAAGGATGTATGAGCTGTCCTGGCAGAAGGAACAGTGTTCTTGCAGAGACTGCTTGATGGTGGCATGGAATTTTGGAGAAACTAGAAGGCTGGTCTGGTTAGAGGGGAGGGGTGGCTCACAGGCAACATGACTAGCCAGATCATGCCAGAGCTTGTGAGGAGATCAGATTTTATTTTAAATGCTTAAGGGAGCAATTAAGGTTTTAACCCGAAGTGACATGATCCCTCTTAAATTTACTGTGGGAATAAATTGAGTTGAATACCGCTGTATTTTATCCATAGAAAAGTTTCCAGTTTACCGCTGCTTCTTTCCTACACCACACAGCCCAACTTTGTCAAGTGTCCAGCACATTGTTAACCCCGGGCTTTTTTTGGTACATATTTGCTGAATTGGATTGGATTGGACTGGATTATCTTTGCTATCTCCTGAACAGTTTGCTTTTGAAATTGTATGATGTCGTCTTCCTGCTGGGGTGATTTATTTATTCTTGACGCTCAATATGCATGAGAATCACCTCTGGCCCATTTTAAATATCTATATGCCTAGAGCTCACCTCAAGCCTATGGAATCAGAAATCTCTAGAGCAGTAGTTCTCAATTCTCAATCTTAATTGTGCATCTGAACTGCCTTTATGTTGAACTGCTGAGGGAGGAGAGGAAATGGAGTCAAGACAGGAGAGAATGGAATCTGGATTCACAAAACTGGAGGGATTTCTATGTTTACAAAAGGTAGTTTGAATATCAGCTGAGCTAGGCAGAAAAGAATGGAGGTGTTGTGTCTATAAAATCTATGGAAATTGAACAAAGTTCTGTTTACCATAGATTACTTTTTAACAGGCCTTAATCATGTTGTTATTGTAAAATGCTGTCTAGTCATTTCCGACTCATAGTGACCCAGTGTAGAGTTGCCTAGGGGTTGCTGGTAGGCTTGAACTGCTGACTTTGCTGTTAGCAGCCCAGTGCTTATCCTACAGCGTCACACCAGGACTCCATACCCTTGACAAACCCCATAAGATGTAAGGTTCTATGAATTGATTAGCTATTACCCATGTGATTCCTCTTTTGAAAAAGTAAAAAAATCCATTTCTCTATCTTTGGTTCCTTCTTCTTGCCAGATTAATCATGTAGGATAGCATTTACAGGATTCGAGCACTGTGGTGTTAGTATCTCTACGTAGTAAGAAAAAATGTTGATAGTAAGAAATTTATTTGCTTCTGTAGTTCCATGCTTTTAAGCAATTGATATTAACTGGTTTAGCTCTAAATACAGAACTTAACAACAACATGGTAGCCAGGTTCTAGAAAATATGGTTTTACAATTATAGGGGTTGTTGTTATTGTTAAGTGCCGTTGAGTCTGTTCCAACCCATAATGACCCTATGTAGGGTTTCTGAGGAGCAGCTGGTAAGCTTGACTCGCCGACCTTTAAGTTCAAATGGCTTTACAGTCTGGCGCATTAACCCACTGTGCTGTGGCGCTTCAATTATAAGGGACTCCAATTATAAGGGTTGATGTTGTTGTTATGTGCTGTGGAGTCGGTTCCGACTCATAGCGACCCTGTACAGGGTTCCCGAGGATGTAAATCTTTATGGGAGCAGAAAGCCTTATCTTTCTCCCGTGGAACAGCAAAGTGGATAATAACACAATTATAAGGGTAGAAAGTGGATAATACAAAAAATGGATGATACAGAAAAGCAAAAAGTAAAATACAACTTGAAATTTCATTTTAAATCTTTATTTTTTTAATGATTTTCTTCTTGTCTTTCATACTTCTCCTGAATCTGGGTTCTGCCAGTTGTTGCTATGTCAGCCGAAGACTTAGCCAGCTATCAAATCATGATCCGCTGTGGAGAAGACATTGCAAAAAGCACTGGCTTATCTCTGAGTAAGTATGCTGGGACATAAGCTTTTCATAGTAGGCCCTTGGTTTCCATGGTACTAATCTGTCCTGATTTCTTAACTCTTCAGCCCTTCCCCCTCTCTCCTTTGATGGCTCTTCTTAAGCCTGTCAGTAAATGTTGATGTCCTCCGAGATTTGTCTTCGGGCACTGCTCTCTTGTTGTTATGAACGCTGCTGCACTGACTGTTGTAGTTTATAGTGACCACCTGTGTGCTTCTAGCTCTCTAACAGAAACCCTAGCCCTGATCTGCTATCTCTGCTGAACTTCACACTTGTTTATACAATGGTCTTCTGGACCTCTCCATTGAGTGTCACACAGAGGTTCACTGAATTCAGGAAATAGTAACAAATGTAACAGAATCACAGTCAAGAATTTGACAGAATAAATAGAAAGTGGGAGTTGGAAAAGGTGAAAGAAAGAATGGTGGTTAGTTGTTGTTGAGCACCTAACTCATGACAACCCTGAGTGCTGAGTAGACTGGCTCCATAGAATTTCCAAGACTGTGACCTCTCAGAAGCCAATCAGAGGCCTAACTTCCGTTTGGGTTCAAACATCCAACCTGTCAGTTAGTAGTTAAGAGCTTGACCACATACACCACCTTTGTGGTTAAGTGCCTTCAAGTACGTTCTGACTCCTAGCAACCCTATATGGGGTTTCTGAGACTTTAAAAAAAAATCTTTCTCCTGTGGAGTGGCTGATGGGCTTGAAGTCGGACCTTGTGGTTCTCAGTCCAATGCTTAAAATATGGAGCCACTGTGCTCCGGTACACCACCAATCAAGCTCACCAATCGCTCCTTGGAAACCCTATACGGGGTTGCATGGGTCGGCATCGACTCGACGGCACTTAACAACAACATATCCTTATATATAGGAGTCCTGGTGTGGTGCTGTGGGTTAATGTGCTGGACTGCAAAGTTGGTTTGAGCCGCAAAGTTGGCAGTTCAAGTTACCAGCTGCTCCTTGGGAACCCTATACAGGGTTGCTATGAGTTAGAACCACTTAACAACAAGTGCTATGACATATCCTTATAAGGAGCTCTGGTAGCATAGTGGATTATGAGCAGAGCTGCTAACCACAAGATCAGTAGTTTGAATGGACCAGCCACTTTGCAGGAGAAAGATGAGGCTTTCTGCTCCCAGAAAGATTTATCACCTCAGAAGCCCTATATAGGGTCACTAAGAGTCAGAACTGACGTGGTGGCACCCATCCACCATACCATATTCTCATATTTCACATTGGGGTGATGGCAGGGGCAGATTACCCAATAAACAAGGTAATTTGTGGTTACTTGTGCTTATTTACTAATCTGCAGTGAACAGATTAGATTAGTAAGTAAACCCATGCTTATCTTGTTTACTGAATACTCTGTCCCTGTCAGGGATTATACATTTGAGAAGAGATTGATTTGTAGGAAGGTGCTGTGGGTTTGGGAGAAAGAGAGATGTCAGCTATACTTAAAGCCAAATCTTCTACTGTAAAAAAAAAAAAAAAGGAAATATTCACTGAAGATTAGTTAGTAAATGTGTGCTTGTCTTGCTTATGTATTGGGTAATCTGACACGGAGTGATAGTAGATATAATTGATTTTTGTTATTTATGGTAGTTATAGTTATATTCTATAAAGTTACTGTAAGCACTGAATTAAACCAAACCCAGTCCACTGCCATCTAGTTGATTCCAACTCATAGCAACCTGTATAGGGTTCCTGATGCTATCAGTTTTCTGGGAGCAGAGTGCCTCCTCTTCCTTATGCAAAGCAGCTGATGGGTTTAAGCTGCGGACCTGGCTTTTAGCAGTCCAGTAGGGAAAATGCAAGGTAAGTTCCTAAAAGTTTGGTGACAACAATTTTAACCAGTCAATGCATCAACTTTCTTTTTATGTTTCCACAAGGGGGCTTCAAAAATTTTATGAAAACAAACAAAATTAAAAGAGAGTGGAATTAAAAAACAACATAATTTTTCTGTGAACTTTTTGAAGTACCCTCGTATTTAGAAAACATTGAATTCACTCCCAACAGCACTGTAACTTATGCCTGAACAGAGCTTATCTAACATGCATATGTACTCTGTTGAGGAACAACAGACAACACGTCAGCACTGGTTGGGGAGAGCATTTTCTTTTTAAATTTTTATTATGAATTATGTGATAGTTTACATGGGAGAACATTATCTTTACATTCACCCTACCATATTTTGTTTCATTGCAATGATTACAATCCCCTGCATCCATCATCAAACAACCAAAGGGTACACCCTACATGCCTCAAAGCAGCACACAGCCCCTCTCCCTCCCTGAGTCCAGAATCCCCAGTTGCTCCATCTTGCTCCATCTCTCCACGTCACTGTCTCTGCCTCCATCTCTGGTGTCACTTTCTCTGGATAGGGTCCCACCCTTCGCTTTTCTCCCTTGATGGTTCCAGGGACCTCTGCTGCTAGACTACAGAATCAACCATTCCCCTTCTTTTGTTATAAAACATCTACCTTTACCTTTCCAACACTGACAGTCCTGATAGCAATCATTCCCTATTGAACCACAAGAGTCTTAGCCCCATCACCTTTTATCAGCCCCATCCAGACAGGTTGGAAACAACTCAGTGGAGATTCTACCTTTCCCTACACCTTCTGGAACTAGGTTCCCTATTGAAAGCTTGTAAGCCAGTCACTTCTTGCCTTTGTAGCCCCCCATTTTGAGTAGCCAATGTCTTAAGTTCCCCATCCTTGTCAATCCTGTGTACTAAGGGGGTGGGAACGATCCTCACCGTAAAGGTTTGTTTGTGCCTTTGCCCTGCTGCATCCACAAGCATAGGTCAAGTTCATCTAATTGTAGTGGATTACTCTTTTTTTTTCCTTTTCTCTCTTCCACTAGTCGTGTTCTGATCATCCAGCCATTGAAGCCAGATCAAGTAGGGGAGAGCATTTTAAACCGTGAAATCACCGGCAAAAAGCACATAAATGTAGAAAAGCGTATCAATTCATTGTTACTGTTAACTGTCATTTCCAACTCATGGTGACCCAGTGTGTGCAGAGTAGAATGGCTCCATAGGGTTTTCAAGGCTGTGACTTTTGTGAAGCAGATCACCAGTCCTGTCTCTAAGTTGCCTCAGGCTGGGTTTGAATCACCTAATGTTTTAGGTAGTAGTTGAAAACGTAATGGTTTGCGCACCAGGGCACCATGGTGGCAATTGTTGTTGTGTGCCCTGAAGTCGATTCCGACTCATAGCGACCCTGTACAGGGTTTCCGAGGCTGTAAATCTTTACAGGAGCAGAAAGCCTCATCTTTCTCCCATGGAACAGCTGGTAGTTTCGAACTGCTGACCTTAAGGTTCACAGTCCGATTTGTAACCACTATGCTACCACAGCTCCTTAACAGACCCTTATTTACATGCAGTGTGAGAGCCTTCTTCAGCCACTTCTGGGAACAAGAGCTTTGAGTGAGGAATTTCTGTTGCTTCATGAGTGTATTAAAAGGCACCATGCATATTGATTTTGGGTTACCAATAAATTTTAATGAGGCCGTAAATTCACAAATGCAGAATCCACAAATAATGAGATTGTACTATGCTATGTAAAATTGACAAATCAAGAACTAGAGGTATAAATATTTAGAATTACACAGATACATTCCAGCTATAATTTAAAGTTAACTTTGAGGAGAATAGAAGACTGGGTTTTCATCAGTTCTTTGATACTGTTTGGTTTTAATAATATATGTATTTGTTGTTATTAAGTCCATTGGATTGGCTCCGACTCACAGCGACCTTTTGTAGGGTTTTGGAGGAGCATCTGGTGCATTTGAACTGTTGACCTTGTGGTTTGCTGTCCAGTGCTGATCCTACAGTGCCACACCAGGAGTATATGCATATATTATTTGAATTAACAATAAAATGTTCTCCTCCCTCTGTCCTAGCCCCAACAAAAAAAAAAAACCCTGAATTGGAATTGTTTGCTTTCCCCCATCCCTGGCCCTAATTCCGTCCTCAGTCATCCTGGCAGCAGCATCCACATGGAACCTAAGCGAGATCCTGTTTCCTCTCTTTTTCTCTCGTTGTTGTTGTTAAGTGCTGTCGAGCTGTCAGTTTCGGAGGAGGAGCTGGTGAGTTTGAACCCCCCCGCCACGTGTGGTTCTCAGTCTAGTGATCCTGCAGCATCTGATTTTAGCTTCTATTTCTTGAATCTTCATGTTCATTTCGTCTCACTTATCACATTGGTTTTTTTTTTCCCAAGGAGCGACTGATGAGTTTGAACCACTGAATTCGTGTAGGAAAACCAATGTTTTCCTACAGCACTTACCAACAACAGTAATAAATCACATTTTTAGTTCAGCTCATGTTCTTTAATCAGGACTACTCAAAATCCTCAACTCCTTTTTATGTCTCATGTTTAACCAAACCATAAACCAAACCTAGTATCATTGAGTTGATTTCAACTCATGACATCCTATAGGATTTCCAGGGCTACTGCAAGGTTGGCAGTTCAGGATCACCAGCCACTCCTCAGAAACCCTATGCTGGGTTGCTATTGGTTGGAACCTACTCGATGGCCTTAACAGCAACAACAGTCTTCATTGTAGCAGACCGTTATGTATTTTTCCTAGAGCAGCAGGTAGGTTCAAACTACAAACCTGTTGGTTAGCTTTCACCCATTAAATGTACCCTTCCCAAACCACATCCACAAAGCTACTCATTTAACTCCCCTGTTAAACCCTTCAATGGCTTTCTGTTGCCTACAGAATAAAGTCCACAGTCTTAAAGTCCAAGACCGGAATGACCTTCTATGGTTACTTTATTCTCTAACCTCTTCTGACTCTTCAATTTACTTTTCCAGCAATACTGAAATATTTAACAGCTCATTATAGATAGACACTTTAAGGCCCCTGAGTGGTAAAAGTGGTCTGTGCTTGACTGCTAATCTGAGGATTGGTAGTTCATACCCACCCAGTGGCGCAGGAGAAGAAAGACCTGGAGATCTGCCACCTTAAAGAAAACAGCCAGGGTAACCCTATTTATGTCATGAGTCAGAATTGGCTTGGGTTTGGATTTCCCTTAGGCCCATCTTTTTTGTTTTTAACTGAGTAATTCATAGTCATCGTTTAAGACTTCTGAGAAGCCTTCTGTGAATTTGCAGGTTAAAAACCCTTCCTTTGTGGTCCCGTATCACTTTGTCAGTACTTCTACTATAGTACTCAATATGTTATGAAGTTGTCTACTTAACTCTCTCTCACTTAGACTAGTTATTTTTTAAAGATAAAAAAAGTACCTTATTATTTATGTTGTCATGGCTTAATGGATACTCAGTATGTGCTTGTGGAATTGTATCCAATACAAACATTACATTGTGTAACTACTTTAGTGCTTTATGGTACTCTGGTTCATACTGTACAGTGTAAATAAGTTAGATTAACATTGTATCACTTGTTTCTAAGTATTCTCTAAAATTAAAAAAAAATATGTATACCTTTTTCATTTTTATAACTGTATATGTTTAAGAGTAACTTGAAATTCATACCCCACACACTCGTCACATTGTTTTATTAAGGATTTAAAAATTTACAAAAAGGTAAGTAAAAATTAAGAAAATAATCGAATAATCCCACCATATGAGTTATAATCATTATAAATTTTTTGATGTATCACTTTTTGCTAGCTAGTCTAACTATATGGCAAAGAAAGGCAAAAGTAACCACAATTTCCCAATAAAATATGTTGGAAAACGTCTAAAACATATATTAACATCATATCGAAAGATTTCTAACCTAATTTTAAAAATCTATTTAGGGAAGAGAAAACACAGAAGAATCAATGTTGGAAGTCTCTCTTCATAGACACGTATTCTGACGTGGGAAGATACATTGACCATTATGCTGCCATTAAAAAGGCCTGGGATGATCTCAAGAAATACTTGGAACCCAGGTGTCCACGAATGGTTTTATCTCTGAAAGGTACTGGGAATACGGGGTTCTCTCTACCTCATTTTAATAAAGAGACTGTTATGCTAAGATTGCTTGAGGAGGACTACTGTGATTTCTTTTAAAAGATGTTTTTTAGTTGAAAAACCTTGCCTTCTGTATCAAGCCTCTCCTACTTTGAGCATGCTCATACTCACCGCTATCAGGTCGGTTCCAACTCAGCGCTCCTGTATAAGGCTTCTTTACAAGGGCAGAAAGCCTCATCTTTCTCCTATGGGGCGGCTGGTGGGTTTGAACTGCCAACCTTTTGGTTAGCAGATAAGTGCTTATACTACAGTGTCATACCAGGACTCCACTTTTAGGAGGAAAAGTATTTGTTAAGGGCCCAGGTCCTTTCCAAATACTAGACTGCCATTAAGCAATACTTTTAGTATAAGTTGAAGGAAAAGTATTTAACAACAGTTTAATATTGGCAAGGAGTCCTGGTGTAGTGCTGTAGGATAAACACTTGATCATAAGTTTGGTTTGAACTGCAAGATTGGCGGTTCAAGATCACCAGCCTCTCCTTGGAAACCCTATACAGGGTCGCTGTGAGTCAGAACTGACTCAGTGGTACTTAACCACAACAACATTTGGAAAGAACCTGGGTCCTATAACAACAGCATGTGAGAGTTTGGAAAATTTTTATTCCTACTTTTGACCATAATAAAATTGAGATTTAAAGCGAGGTCTGTTTGACCCCAGAAATTATACTTTTTGTCCTTCACTATTGTCAAATTTTGGCAAGAAATATCAGTACACTACTTCCCGCTAATTTTATGTGTAAATTTACATCCCTGAAAGTGCAGAGGTAAATTACAGATAGATATGAGAGCTTCACAAAGTTTTCGGGAAAATGCAATTAAAAGATAATGAGATTTCCCCACAAATTTTAAACCACCTCTTATTGCTACTTATCCTTCATTAGCTTTGGTGTGACACTGTAGTATAAACACTGGATTGTTAACTACAAGGTCAGCAGTTCAAACCCACTAGTCACTCCTTAGATATCATATACAGGGTTGCTGTGAGTCTGAACCGTTAAGTGAGATGGCACCTAACAGCAACAACCACACTGAGAGAAAATGTACACTTGTTTTGGTTTTGCTAAGCTAATATTGGGACCACTTCCTCTTAAATGTTATCCTTCCTTTAGGACTAAGATCACTTCTGAAATGGGATTCCTTTTACGTTTCATATTTCTACTATGATTTCCCATGCAAATATTCCATTCATACATAGCACTGCATGACCAGATGCTTAAAATTGAATTGCTTGCATTTGAAAGAGTGACTTGGAAGAGAGAATAGAGATTTGAGGAAAATTATCCTTGATTAGGAGCCCAGGACCCAACTCAATGGCACTCGACACCCTTGATTATTATTTTTAATAGCTTCATAAGAAATTAATACTATTCATCCAGTATGGGGTTAAATCATTTCAAGTAGAAAATAATTCTATAGATTATTGTTTGGTTGATCAATAAGACAGGTGAGCACTTAAAATTGTTAAGTGCTGTTGAGTTGGTTCCAACTCATAGCCACTCTGTGTAGAGTTTTCAAGGAGTGACTTGTGAGTTTGAACTACTGACCTTGTGGTTAGCAGTCCAGTGCTTATTCTATAGTGCCACACCAGGACTCCAGTAGTTATTTTGTTATTAAATACAGAACTAGGCCCTAAGCCAAGTATTGCATGAGTATTACTGCATTTAATTTGCAAAAATCTTATTAGGTAGGCAATTATCATTCTAATTTTATAGGCAAACTACCTGAGGCATAGAAAGCTAAGTAGATCCCTTACCTCACAAAGCAAAAGACAAAGCTAGGGTTTGAATGTAGGGCTGACACCAGAGTTATGGTCTAACCATTGATGGAAAGCAGAGCCAAGAAATGATTTAACAGTAGAATATTTGTAGACATGATTTTACTTTTAGGTGCAGAGCTACTAAGAAAAGGAGAAACTAAGGAGATATGGCAGCTTTTTCTTTCTTTTTGCCCCTCGTACTCAATTTGGTATTTCCAGACTCCCTACTCACTATTGTATAGCCAACAGTAGGAGATGAGATTGTCAGAGAGTTCCTTGACAGTACTTTTTATTTCTATGCGTTCGAGTAGGATAAAGGGTCTTTGCTCTGAGATACAAACCTTAAACCAAAAATATCCTCTGAATTCATCTTAAAACCAGGCAATAGTTTGTTGTTGTTGCTAAGTGCTGTTGACTGACCATAGCAACCCTGGATAGGGTGTCCGAGGAGCATCTGATGGGTTTGAGCTGCTGACCATGTGGTTCACAGTCCAGTGCTGATCCTACAGTGCTACACCAGGAACTTAGTGTAACTAATAAAAAAGAGTCTGCCTTGAGCATTATGCTCTTTTAAGAACTATCTCTATGGGCTCAGATTACCAACAACAACTAGAAAGATTAAATAGGAACCTGCGGGGACATTGATTTATGGTAAGAGATGGGGAAGAGCAGGCTGGAATTGGTTGGTCATCAGGCTAGAGAGTTTGCAGATCTCTGATTTATACCACTCCTGTCATTTTGCAGGTGAAGAACAGACCAAGAGAGATTACGTGATTTGTGCAAGGTCCCATAACTAATATGAAACAAAGATGGGACTCTAACCTCAGTTTCTTGGCTCCTAGTAACTTTTTCACTGCTTCTGTACAAGTAGTTAAGGTGGGAAAGAAAGTAAATGAGCATCTATTGAGTGCTAGTGCTTTAACTGGTAACAGAAAGGCTGGTGGTTCAAACCCACAAGCCACTCGTGGAAGCCCTATGCAAGGTCACTATGAGTCAGAACCTACTTGATGGCATATAGTAACAACTTTACCAATCAAGCACTTTATTTAAACATTTTCATATGATATTCTCAATTTCATTCTCTCAAACAGTTGGTATTGTTGTTGTCTTTAGTGCTGTGGATTTAGTTTCATCTCATAACAACCCTGTATAGGATTTCTGAGGAGTGGCTTGGTGAGTTTGAGCGGTTCAAATTGACTTTATGGTCACGTGCTTATCCTGCAGCTCATAGTAGTTGGTGTTAGCCTTCATTTTATCGATGGAAGAGGTGAAATAACTTGCTAGAAAACAGTCATTAGATAATAGAGCCGAGATTTGAACCCTGATCTGACAAGATAACTGAAACTCTATTTTATCAGGCTGTGTCTTTGAACTTGGAGTTTATTGCATTGAAAATGTGTATTTCTTTATGCTTCTCTCTTTGGCCTGTGCGTTGCTATTGTTTTTATTACTTTTTCTTCTTTCTTGTTACCTTTATTCCTCAAGAAATTATTGGTTTCTTTATATCATATGCAGGAGTCCTGGTGTGGCATTGTAGGATAAGCACTGGACTGCTAACCAATATGTCTGTGGTTCAGACCCACCAAGCCACCCTTTGGAAACCCTATGAGTTGGAACTGACGCAGCAGCATCTCACAGCAATGTCGTGTTAAATGTCCAACATGTAGCACATAACACACAAATAGTAGTTTCTCTCCTCATCAGATTACTGGCAGCTACTCAGCTTGATTCATTGTGAACTAAACTTTCTTTTTTGAAAGTAAACTTTATATTTTGGAACAGTTTTAGGTTTACAGCAATGTTGTAAAGATAGTACAGAGAATTCCTATATACCCTCACCCAATTTCAGTTTCCCTTAATGTGTCATCGTACATTACCATGGAAACCTGACAAAATGAAAAAGCTTTAATTGATGTTGTATTATTAACTAAACTCTAAACTCATTTAGATTCCATCAGTGTTTTTCATTAATGTTCTTTTTCTGTTCCAGGACCAAATCCAGAATACCACATTGCATTTAGTAGTGTACTCTGTTCTCTGCTTTCTGTGACCTGGGAAGTTTTAAGGAGTATTGGTCAGGAATTCTGTAGAACGTCCCTCAAATTGACTTTGTCTGAGGTCTATTGTATTATGATTAGACTGCGGTATGAGATTTTTAGGAAGATTACCACAGAGCTGAAGAGCTCTTTTCATCCTATATTTAGGGATACAAGATATGACCTCGCTGATGATGTTAGTGACCACACAGAAATGTGCACATATTACACATGTGCAAGTTAGTGGATTATCACAAAGTGAACACATCATTTAATACCCTCCAGGTCAAAAGAATAATATCTGCACCTAGAGGCCCCCGATGTCCTTTCCTTTTTCCACAGAGGTAATCATGTTCTGATTACCAGTGTCAGAGATGTTTTCTCTGTTGAACTATTACATGATTTAGTATGCACCATCTGTGAATCCTTTCTGTTTATGACAGTTTACCATGTGCGTTGACAGTAGTTTGTTCATTTTTGTTGCAATGTAGTACTCCATTATATGAATAGACCACATGTATACATACATCATTCTACTATTGATGGAAATTTGGGTATTTTGTTTTGACCTATTACAAAGAATGTTGTGATTGGTTTTTGATGTACATATAAACATTTCTATTTGGTAACTATCTAGGATTATAGTTACAAAGTTATAGAGTGTGCTTATATTAAAACTTTAAAAGAGACTGTCAGTTTTCCAAAATGGTTTTACCAATTTGCATTCCTACCAGAGCTTTAATGTAGTCATTCCGTTTTATTTTAGCCTTTGTGGTGGGTGTATAGTGATGGTTTTAATTTGCATATTCTTATGAATGTAGAATAATGGCAGATTTATTTCTAGCTTTCCAGGCCCTAAATAATGTATTCTTTTTTTTTTACTTGCTTTATCATACTGTCTCTGTACTTCAGTCCAGCATTGACCGGAAGTGATGATAGTGGGCATCCTTATTTTTCTGATCATAGAGGAACAACTTTCAACGTTTCACGTGTAACTGATGCTTGCTGTAGGTTTTTTCATAGATACTCTTCATTAGCTTAAAGAATTTAACCCTTTAATTCCTACTTTGGAAAAAAGGATTTTGTTGTTCTTTTGTAATAGATAATGGAATTTGTCAAATACATTTTCTTCCTTGTGATTTTCATATGATTTTT